CCCCACCCTACTCAGAGTTTCCTGGCAGCTTCTATGGTCACCAGTATTCTCCCTCCTTGAAGGAGATGTTCTCTTCCTAAATCAGAATATTTCTGCCAAATAGTTGGAAAAAGAGGTCCCTAAGTGTTCATTGCATTGCAAGACTTGTGAGTAATGGAGGCCTTCAAAAAGGGCCTGGATGTCCAATGATGATATGGGCATCCTTTGGAAAGTCGACAAGTACTTTATAGAAATGGCTTCAGTGTTTAGTGAAAAAGCTACAGGCCAAGGATCTAATGTGCTTGAAAGCCAGCCCTATATTTGTGCACTTGTTTTTCTGTGGGTAAAAATGTGGCTCAGACATCTTTCCCAGAAGTGCGCTCCATGAGTCTCAGGCAGGACTGTGGTGTGCAAACATTCACTCCACAGCATGGTGCACAGAGAATTTTGAACTTGTCATAAAAAAGAGCACTAGTGGTTTCTCAGAAATAAAGTGACTTGGCCTCATCAGGATCCATAGGGAGGTTTGAATCCTGATATTTTCACTGAATTTTTCCATCAAGTTAAGAAAATTCTGATCTTTATAATCAAAACGATTCTGGAAAATAATGAAGCAGATCACATTGCAGGGAGCACAGCCAAGGATAAAAGTGGGATCACACGGTGAAGCTAAAAAATTGAAAACAATATTGAAATGTACGTTTAAAGCAATTTGACTATATTAGAAGTATAGGTAATTTAGAAATTTTATTACCTATAAATTCCCTAAAGAGCAAAAAAGAATTCAGCATGCAGAAAATCAACACATCACCTGAACATTAAGCCTCAGTTGACCGTTACATTCTCGCTAGTTAAATAATGAAATTTTGATATTTCAAATGCTCAATTCAAATCTCCTGCCTTTACTTAAACCCTTTTAACCCAATGTGTCTGTTATTTTGGAAGAAAACAAAAAAAGTTTTTTAAAACCCAGAAATTCAAGTTTTCAAAGCAGAATCGCATTTGTCTACAATGTCTGTAGACCAAAAAGCTTTGAGATAAAAAGGGAGAGAATACTTGAGGACCTGGGACCTATTTATATGTAATGAACAGCTGAAAGAATCACGTGTTGAGCTAACAAAGAGGAAGTAAGAGAGAGAGACTGTGTATAAAGTCATGTATTTGAAGGAATAAATATGAAAAGCAGTATGCATGCATTTTATATGAGACGAAAAACTCATATAAATGAACAGTAAGTATAGGATGGATTTGTTTGTCTAAAAAAAGAAATGTGAAATTTGTATTTTATATATGAATTCCAGGTAAGGAAAATTTAAAAACTAAAGTGATAAATGGAGTCTTCTTATTTATCATTTCAATGTAAAAGAAAGAAAGAAAGGAAAATGCATTCCCTTCTATAGGAACTAAATTTCCTTAAATTCCAATTATCATCCAAATTTGAATTTTTTTGGTAAAGCTACCCTTTTGTGGATTGTGGGATATTATTCTGCATTGCCGTCAACAGAATTGTATGTTTTACCAAATTTTTCTCCATCAGTTAGGCCAAATCTATCGTTTTACGGATTAAGAAATTAAGTTGCATTCCCTTCCTTGGGAACTAAATTTCCTTAAATTCCAATTATCATCCAAATTTAATTTATTTGGTAAAGCTACCCTTTTGTGGATTATGGGATATTATTCTGCATTGCCGTCAACAGAATGGTATGTTTTACCAAATTTTTGTCCATCAGTTAGGCCAAATCTATCATTTTACAGGTTAAGAAATTAAGTTAAAGGAAAGTGGGGTACTTTGCTTTTTTTTTTTTTTTCTTTCCCCCTGGCTAGTCTATAAAATGGGATTCTTATATGCAAATGATCAAAGAACTGCATACATAAAGAGCTCCCAAAATCACACTGTGGAGCCTTAGTAAGGGTGACTTGAATCAAAAGTGTGCTGAATAAATGGTACGGCATTGAACAGCAGGAAACCTGCTGAGTTACTGGCTTCTATACCAGGTTTCTTTAAAAATATAAAGGCTTTCAGTTTTGAGAAATGTTTTATTTAAGCCACTAGGTAGGAGGGTAATTGGGGTTGTTTGGGGGAGTTTGTGTCTGTTTGCCTGTGTGTCTGTGTGTGTGTGTGTGTGTGTGTGTGTGTGTGCGTGTGTGTGTGATTCACAGGTGAGATCTGATATTTAGTCTTACCATTCAGTTCATTGGAAAAGAAAACTTAAAAACAAGGGAATTTGAAAATCAAGCTGACAATCAGATTCAATATGACAAACACTTCATACTTGAGTAGAGTTGGCAGTGGGAGGAAATTAATTGCCACAAATTTCTAACTCAAAATTCACTGAACATTAGCAAAGAGATATGGAAAATTGAAAACAGAGCCATGCTACTCTTATGGACAGAATAAAGAGTAATTGATAATAGTAGAAATCTAGTTGAATAAATCTGTTTTTTAAATTTCCATTTGCATGTTTTAGAGAATTCTGTTCTAGGATATATTTGCTCAAGATAACTAAATCAATACAGTAAGTAGTGGGTAACAAGAAATAATTAATGCTGGCTGCTTTTAAATAGTCTGGTGTTTACAGAGAAATAATAACTGATGAGAATTGTGGTGAGACATGCCTAAGCAATTAAAACCTTAAAAGGCATCATTAGTGGACAGAAAAGACACTGCCCTGAAAGAAACCCCCAGGTACGTCAGTGATGCTGGTGGTACAAATATAGCCCAATTGAATGAAATAATATGTGACTTTGTTCCAGCTACATAAGGGTGTGATGGGGTCATTCACACTATGTCTGGTCTCCAAGTATTTTCTGGTGAAATGTTTGGGAATAGGTAACCCATGTGTGTGCTACAGGGAAAACAGTTCTCATTAATTCTTTCAGAAATTAAATCAAACCTATTTTATGATTTCTGATTTGAAGTCAAAGAAACAAAGTTCGGAAGAAAATAGGATTAAACCACACTCTACACACAGTTGTACCCGCACACACAATACACATACACAAAAGCTCCCTCAGTCTCTGCTTCAAAGCAGCCCTCCTCCACGTGAAGGCTGACCACCACTGCCTCTAATGAAAGATCTAGCTGCTCCTGAGATGTTTCCAAGGATGTCAGTGCAGGAGAGAGCAGTCTGTTAACGTCAGCACTACAGAGCAATGAGGCACCCACCGTTGGTTTTTCTCAGCTCCTCCACAAGGCAGCGGGCTTCCTCTTGAACACGGTCCTCGAAGCTTCTCTTCCCCATCCCAAAATTCTGCAGGGTCATGAGCGAAAAGCACCGAGTCTCCTTCCATCTATTTCCATTGCTGAATATGATTCCTACCAGACAGGGAGCAGAAACTAGGAGGGAGATCCCAGGCAAGTAAGAGTGATCTGACACTTGGCAGCTACGTGGTTGGTCCAAGCTCTGCCTGTGGAGGTGTTTGAGTCTGTGTTTTAAGTCCTCCCACCCCCATTACCAATACTGACATAGGCAGGTGTACACTTACCATGCCCTTTATTAGTTCGTTGAACCTCTGGGGAAATGCCTCTTCCAGAAAATTCCTCTCCCATATCAATCAGGGCTCCCTTCACTGCTTCTTATCCATGCAACACCTTGACGGGCTTTATGACAAAATGCAGAGTGAACACAGGGCCATAGACTTTTGAGAACTAGAAAAGGAGAGGCAGATAATAGCAAAACAAGATGCTATTTAGTCCAAATATTGTACCTGATTCGAACTGATATTATCATTCTAATTTTTTATCTTTATTTGCCACATACAACTTCAAATATTTGACAAATTCATTCATAAATAGCAAGGTGACTGTTGTAGCTGCCACTATGGACGGCCTATGATGTGCCACACAAAGCCCAGGCAATTGGTATACAGATTACAATTAATCTTCACACCAATACATTCAGCGGGATTA